CTGTAAAACTTCATAGCGATATGTTTTGATTTGTACGTATGTTTATGTTCCAAGTGGTGTGGGTAGAACGTGCAGATACAGATGTAATGTACGTACAGTCACCGTCAAATAGTTGGTGACACCCAAAGTGACCAAAATGTTAATAACACCCAAAGTGACCAAAAAGTTGATAACAATCTTATTCCAATGAGGGTTTTCGCGATTGAAAAATCCGCCAGATGGCAATACGTAGACGCGAGGTCCAAATGCTGCATGATTGGTGGATTTTGACATATCTGTCAATGTCATGTCAAAAATAACCAATCATGCAGCATTTGGACCTCGCGTCTACGTACTGCCATCTGGCGGATTTTTAAATCGCGAAAACCCTCATTGCAACAAAGACGTGTTGCGAACTTTTTGGTTACTTTGGGTGTCATGAACTATTTGACGCTGACTACCCCGCGCACGCCACATGGTAGTGTGAATATCTTAAAAAATACGTATTGAATTATTCAACTTAAATCGATATGATCTTTAAAAAATATTATTTTAATATAAACGTTATAATTTTATAATAAATATTACACTTTTTACTCTTGCAAAAATCTTGTTATATTTTGAAGCAGTCGATGTGGATGCCAAGTGTGTGCATCTTACAAGTATACAGGGTGGAATTTTGTAATGCCACCTGAAGGGAAAGTACTCCTAATACTGTAGATAAAAAAATTTACTCAAAGGAAACATTCCTTTATTTTTAAAAAGAAATAGAACTGCATTCAAAGATTTCCAAAAATTTGCTTGCCACACCCAGGAGTCCAACCAACTAAAATCTGTTAAAAATTGCACCGTGTATTTTTATTGCATCGATCGTTAGGGTTAAGTATAAGGATGATATCTCTCTAACAAACTTGATAAATAAAATGAAAGGAAAACCATGAAATCATAAATTAATCTAATTTTTTAGAGAAAATTGTATGGCATGATGGTGAATTTTCGAAAAAAAAATCGGACATCTTTGAATGCAGTTCTCTTTCTTTAAAAAAATAAAGGAATGTTTTCTTTGAGTAAAATGTTCTAACTAGTATTAAGAGTACTTTCCCTTCAGGTGGCATTACAAAATTCCACCCTGTTTTAAGTCCATTTTTAAAAATAACTAATATAAGTCATATTTCGAGACTCATCAAACTTTTCTATGGAAATAAATAAATAAAATTGGTCATATCTTAAAACTTATGAAACTTTTTCTTTTCTTTGGACACATTAAGCTTGTTCGATGCGTCTTAGACTCGGCTACCTCCAGTGTCAGTGAGACGTGCTAATTTTGGGACAACCTGTATAATGTTCACACTACCATGTGGCTAAGCGGTATGCGTCCTGTATACAGGGTGGAAACTATAAGTGATCTCACTCGATTATTTCTAAACTAAACAAGATATCGAAAAACTGGTTACTAATCCTGAAAGTGCTTTATGAGCTCTTTTAATTTTAAACGGTATCAATTTATAGGTTACAGAATAAATTCCGTACTAAATGTACGCCAGCCACACAAAATTTAGAAGTGTAATTGTACTTATCCTACTTCCTACTAATATTATAATTACGAAAGTTTGAATGTCTGGATGTTTGTTACTCTGTACACCCATCCTAGGCCATAATTTATGACAATCCGTGACAAACGAAATTTCACGCGGGTGAAGCCGCAGCCGCAAAAGATAGTTAAATAATAAACTCTTAAACTCGTAAATTGCATTCTTATTTTAAATTATTTATGGAAAACATTGGTTTCAGGCTTTACTTGGTATAATATTGTCAAGAGACGAGTGCCATGACTGGCTGTCGTATTAAATGTATGGAAGCTCGAAAAATTGAACTTTTGGATAGATCCAGTTCATTCTGTAACTTATTATATTGATACCGTTTGAAAGATCTCATGGAGTACTTTCAGGATCAGTAACCAGTTTTCCGATATCTTGTTTAGCTTAGAAATAATCGAGTGAGATCACTTATCGTTTCCACGGTAGTGTGAATAATAATTCAAATCTGATATCTATGTAATTATTTTACTATTGTGACATTGAGTTGGGTTGATGAAACAGATAGGTTGTAGTATAAAAGATATTTGAAATGTTATTAATTTATAGATGAATAAGTTCATTTTTGCTATCGAATTATTGGTAAAGAACTGTTCTTTAGTACTTTGTCCGTTTTATATGAACTGTGATATAATTGTGATATTTGTTTAAAATGAATAAACCATTCAATGATGATAAATAGTGTTTTTATTTTATGTTGTAAGCTTTAGTATATTTATAAGGAAATTTAAATTAACTATGTTATTTTTAAGGTATTCGTATTCTGGGCATTATTTTAGTAACTAATCTATGAGATTTTTCAGCGGTATAGGTAAGCTGTTTATTTTAATGTAGAAGATGACAACGATTGTTCTTCTAATTCATCGTTTGCAGATCAGCGGTTGTGCAAAAATGAAGACTTATAGAAGATACACATAAATGCGTAGTTTACACAGGTTTCGATGCTTTATATTGAATTTTGAAATTTGCTTGCCAGTTTGAATTTGTGTGTGGTTTTTTTTAGATTAATCTAAGGTTCAATTTAGATTAAGTTAATTGAGGTCTTCCTTTTCTGACTATTTCGTCACAGGAGCGTGCTATTATTTCGTCATCTGGTAATGTAAAATATAGAAATGCTATTGTAAGACAATCTCTATTCAACACCAATGTCTATGCAATATTTTGATATTGTTACCACGTTATTTCTCGTGTACATATATTTTTATTGGGGTCGGTTGGTCCATCTTGCTTGAACCATTAGCATATGGCCTTCGCCAAAAGGTATACCAGATTTGATGAATGAATCATGATTGGAAGAAAAATGGCTCCCGGTAAATGTTTAGTCAAGTAAAAATTAAGTTAATGGATTACCAAACATAAAAATAAAAGCCTTATCTTTGGCAGCATTTCAGTGTGGATTTACCCATACAAGATGAATTCAGTTCATGACATTGTGACTAGTGAAATGAAGTTATGCTTATTTTTTGCCGACTGCGCCAGTAGGAGTGTTATTTATTAATCTGACAGAGACATTTCTTATTTCGGCATTTATATGTCCATTTTGATAATTATTGCATTGTTTTCGTTTGGAATTAAATATAAGATTGCTTGACTTAGCCTTTGCCTGGGCAAATGCTGGGCAAAGGCTGGCCTCATCCCTCACTGAGGTGGATTCAGTAGTGAGAGTTTGTTACTGTTAAACATATTTGTATACTATTATTATTACACGAGTTTTCGACAAAATAGGAAAGCACATGAGGAAAAATTTGTTCTGTATACGAAATTGTTATGCATGCCAATTTCTTACAGTCGAATGACATCAGTTTTAGTTGATATTACACCAGCAGCTAAACATACTGGGTTTGACACAGAACATTATTATGCTCTTCGCAACAAGCACTACTCAAAATATACATTTTGCGAAGTGCACGTTGTAAGAAGTGCCATGAGGTTTTTTTAGTCTAGATGAGAAAAAGTTTTAATGGGAATATCATTAATTATCCTCAATGATAATCCTGGATCCCGAACACGAACATTTTACATTTTTTTTTAAAGGTTATTAGCAATTTGTATTGCCCAAATTACTAATAGTCCCATTAGCCCCTCGTGTTAAGGTAAATAAGCTTGTGTTACGAGTGGGCTCACCACAATAGTCGAGCGGCGGTGGGATTCGAACCCGCGTCCTCGGATTTCGAGTCGGCCACTCCGACCCCTTCACCGTTCGGCTATCGTGGTTATCGATTAAATTGTTGTGGTACCCGAGATCCAGGGTTACCCTTGCTGAAAAGCATATTAATTTAGTAAGGTAGGTAGGTAAATGTTACAGGTGTAGGGGTTATGTGTCTTGTGTACCCCTACGGTAGTTAATGTTGGATGTAGTTGTATCTACGTCACGGGATGTGGTAATTAAAACTGTCCGATTCCGTAGAGAGCGTTTATTTTACTGAATTATAATTAAAGTATAAAAATGAAGTAAAACGAACAGAAAGTAGGTCGCGCGCGCAGGCGCTATGTCAGCAGATTTACTGAAAAACAGTAAATGCTATGTACTTGCTCGTACAACAGTTATAAAAAGAATGCTTATGATGATGACGATGATGGTCGGCTAGAAGATGTCTTTTTTGTAGAGATAAGTTCATTTGACGGTATTTATATCATAGCCATGAAATTAATATGCTACACCGCCCCCCCGCTATATGTATACGCGCCTGCGTTTAGGTCATTTATGGTCCAGGGCTCGTCTAGTTGCCGGTAAATAGACTAATTTATCTCTAACAGTATAATAATAATAAATCTTTGGACAATTTCACACAGCGCCAGCTAGCCTCTAAGTAAAGCAACTTATATGCTTGACTAATTATACATTATTTCTTAATAACAAGAAAGAAAATTAATGTTCAACCAGTTACAATAATGTCTGGCAACCTAAAGGATGCTGTTATAGGTCCGGTTTCCACCAAGGCGGAGCGGATCGGAGAAGTGTCAGACTGTCAAATTTTTCTACAGAATTTGACAGCGGCGGCGAAGCTGTGCGGAGCGGAGAAGAGAAGTGAAAATAATGAAATCTGATTGGTTATTCAAAGCACTTCTCTGCTCCACTGCGCTCCGCTCCTGCGGTGGAAACCGGGCCTTAGAAATAAAAAACGAGTATCCACGTAAAACGTCCAACATTTAGGTAATATTTAGCAACTAATCGCCTTATACATAAAACAAACAATGATAAAACATCGTTTTTCATACTCAACGATTCATAGTTTTCATGAATAAGGTGGTTAAAGTTTAGGAAGTAGCGGTCTAATCTGACACTTTGTTGTAATTTCGATTCGTAAGGCATTTTGTAAGATATTATTAAATAACGCATTTGTTTCGACGTAGGTATATTATATTAGTTTGGTTATAACATATTAAATTGAAATGTTATTAATAAACATTTTTATTTATTTTCAGATACGGTTCTAGAGGTAATGTACCTCCTTCGATGTATCCACCAATGGGTGTGAAACCTTTACTTCCCATGGATAATGGTCCAGGCCTTGAAGGACCTCCTGGGTATCGTGGACGTTACGATCCACCACCATTTGAAGATATTCCCCCTGGCGTGGAACCCCCGGTACCTGGATTTGAACCTTCGCCTTTTGAAAAGCCACCTGGTCTCATGGATAGGGAGCGGTTACCACCCCCTAATTTTAGAGATAACTATAGACCTTCACCGTACATTGAAGGCCCAGGTACTTTTAGAGAATTGCCCATACCTAATGCTCAAAGTGAAATTCCAGTCCACGTAGGTGAACAACGTTATCGTGACAATTTCAGACCATACCGTGATCAAGGAATACCATTTCGAGACGGACAGCCGTTTAGGGAGCCCGGTGCCCAAGGGCCCCCGTATCGCGATGGTAATTTCAGAGGTGCCGGACCACCTTTTCGTGACAACTACAGAAACCTTCCGTATAGAGAAGGTGTTTATCGAGAAAATCCTCCACATAACTTTCGTGAAGGAACTGCTCCATTTAGACCGCCTAGTGCTGATCCCAGAGATCAAGTACCACCGAATTACCATGACCCTAATTTCCGCGATGCATATAGAGATGAAAATAATGTTGTTAGAGACAACAATATGCGACCAGGTTATCGGCCTGGTATTCGTAATAGAGTTGGAGCTAGGCGTAATCCTAACGCTGAACATGAGAGACATAGGGAAAGAGACGGCCGGGAACGTGAACGTTTCCCTGAAAATCGAGACCCAGATAGGCCAAGAGAATTAGAAAAGAGGTCTGCGTATGATAAGTCTCGCGAAGGTCGTGAAGGCCGTGAGCCACGTGACAGCCGTGAACCACGCGAAGGACGTGAGCCTCGTGAAGGACGTGAACCGAGAGAGAGGGAAGGCCGTGAGCCGCGTGAAGGACGTGAACCACGCGAGAGAGAGGGGCGTGAAGACCGTATACGGGAATATGAAAGAAGTCGCGATTATGATAAAGAAAGGGAACGTGAACATGAAAGGTCAACCCCTGACAAGAAAAGTCGTACATCTCCAAAACGTAGCAGAGAAGCACGAGATAAAAAACGCAGTGAGTCGCGAGGAAGGTCACGTGATAGAGATAGTCGACGTGAAAAGAGGGAAGACAAAACTCGCGATAAATCTGCAGACAGAACAAAAGAACATAAAGAAAAAGAGAAGAAGATAAAAGATAGAAAGAAGAAAAAGAGAGAGAAAGAAAAAGAAGTGGAAAAGAAGAAGAAAAAGGAAAAGAAAGAGAAGAAAGATAAAGATGTTATTAAGAAAGAAAGCGATGAGACCGCTGAAGATAAAACAAACTCTGAATCTAAAAATCAAGAAGATGGAAGCAGTGAGAAACAAACAATGTCTTCTCCAATAGACAATTCTCAGAATGAAGAACAAACAACGGAAGTAAAATCTCCTGCCATTACATCTGACGATAAACCGGAAAATGATCTTTATGGCGATGAAGCAGCTGAAGCTGTAGATAAAGAAATTATACAAAATTATGTCAAGGTGGAAGAAAATGTGGAAGTAAGTGACACTAAAGAGATAAACGACACAAGTGAAAAACAAGAAGAACCTTTTGATGGGATAGAACTGCAAGCTAATACAGATGAGTTAGACTTGAAATTAGAGGTTGAAACGAACAATCCCAGTAAAGAAATGTTAGCACCCTTACCTGAGCTATCTAAATGGGAAGTGGACGATGACAACGTTGAGAAATCCAAAGAACCAGGTGAGATATCTTCTCCTGAAGTAGACGATGACGGTAACAAAGTTACATCAGATGTAATCAAAAGAGCAGAAAATGCTATATTTGCTAAAGCTATTAACTCGTTAAGACCTATAGAAATTAAGAAAATTAGCAGCGAGCGTCTCAAATTATATGGTGACGAACAATCTAAGGGAACTATGAATAACATTCAAATTACAGTTCCAGTGACTGATGCTGATCAAAGATCTATTGAGATAAATGATAAGAAAACGAGATCGTCTAAAACTCCACCGCCTCGGCTTTCCGTTAAAGACCGTCTTGGCGGAAAAGTTGAAGATGTAAGAAAACACCGTGAATCCCGTGTTGTGCACAGCACTGTAGAAAGAGTGAAATCACGGTCTAAGACCCCCAAAAAGGAGCAATCGTATCGTAGGGTGACGGTTGAAAATGAAAGGGGTCGTAAAAAGGACGCATTTAGTAGACTTGATTCGTCTAAACCCGATCGACGCAATGTGTCAGAGAGTGGTAAATCAGTAGTTAAAGGAAGCCGAAGTCCTGTTACAGAAGCCCTTAAAAAAGATTCTGATAAAAATTTGAAAGAAGAAAAAGGACATCATTCAGAATCCCGTGCTCGACATCACGATAAGGACAGATCCGGAGATGGTAAAAATCAGAACTCTGAACATGAACGTAAAAAGTCGACGTTGGACGAAGCCCATTTTGAACCTGACTATGACGAGCATTTAGAGTTTGATAATGAAGCTAAAGATGATTCCATCTCGAAAAAAAGAGACCGTTCTGGTTCTCCCATAGGAGGACCTACAGAATCAAAAAAAGCAAAGCTAGAGAACGAAACTATAAAATTAGACTTGGCTAATGTCAAAAAGAAACCTGACACTGATAGTGAGTCTTCTAGTGAGTCGGAATATTCCTCATCATCATCTTCTTCAGATGCCCGCAAAAAGAAGAAGAAAAAGAAAAGAAATAAAAAGAAAAAGAAACGAGCAGCAAGTGAGAGCAATAGCGACTCTGAATCGAGCTCCGATGACCATAAGAAAAAGAAAAAGAGGCGTAAGCATAAGAAAAAGTCTAGCAAGAAGAAGAAGAAATCTAAACATAAATAAGAGGACCATTACGCTTGCAGGACAACAGTTCTATATTTTTTTTTTAGCTTTAGTGGAGGTATAAATATTAATTTACTTCAAATATCTTTTTATTTCTTGAATATTATAGCTTATTAGAAATCTAAGGGCATTGTAACGTGTTCTTTATTATGGAATATACTTTTATGTGTAGTGTAAAACTTAAATAAACTTGAAACGACAATCTCATCTTTTATTTAATAGCCTAATTAACGTTTATTATTTTTAAAGCGGCCGCCCGCGACTTCGTGTCCTCGTGGATCCCGTTTTACCCCCTCAGGGGTGAAATTTCGTAAAATCCTTTCTTAGTGGATGCCTACGTCATAACATCTACCTGTATGCCAAATTTCAGCCCGATCCGTCCAGTGGTTTGGGCTGTGCGTTGATAGATCACTATGTCAGTCAGTCAGTCAGTAAGTCACCTTTGAATTCATAATGTTATATTTTCTTTAGAGTTTTCATTATTCTCTGTCGAAAAGACATTTGGGACAAATAGGTAATTATATTGTGATTAAGAAAATAGTTAATACTAAAAAATATTTTATTTGAGATTAAATAAATAATATGTACATTATCATAGCTCTAAGAATATTGTCATACAAATAATTATTACGCAACTAAATGATGAATAATGTTATTAGATTACAAATAATTTACATTCTCGTAATTTGTTGAGTTATTGACCCATATTCCTGTAAGCAAGCCGCTGCTGCCGTCTATTTTCCCCATCTATATCCGCCAATGAGGATCATTCCAAGATGGTGGAACCAGTTCTTGCGTTGCACGCTGCGGTCGAATTTAGCATCTGATCTGAACTGACGCCACTGCTCTCGTAGTTCTTCATCGCTAGGTCCATAAGTTTCCTTTTTGCGGAAAGACACCTTTATTGTCTGTGAACAAATATTTTTTTACATATCATGAATGAACATGGACATGACACTTGCAACATTTTTTTTTTAAATCGGTTACACCAAGAACACAATCTCATACTGTTGCTAAACTAAAAATTGTACATTAGGTAACATACTTCAATGATATCCCCACTTCTATATTTCCATAAGGCAGCGATGATGAATAGGGGGATCAATGCAATTCCGATGTACTGAAGCATGTTGCCCGCAACTGAAAATAAATATTGGTTGTAGGTATTTTAGGAAAATCGAAGTTTTTGTTAATATGAACTGAAAATCCGGTATGGTATGGCTTGTATTGAATGAATGTTACTTAGCTTGATATTTAGATAGAGTTTTTGAGTAAAAAGAACCGAATACCAATTTTAATACGTACTGTAAGCTCCTTCTGGATATCTGTAAGTGCCACCGTAGACGAGAGCCTCTGTGGTGATCAATGCGTACATGAACACTGCTATCATAATCGCTGGGGTTATTATTGACCAACAAATACGCCAGTAGAATGAACTCTTGACACCCAACATAAATTCGATGTCTAGACAAATGTTTTCTAAACCTGGAATTTAAAAAACAATTCTTAATACTACAATTAATTAAAAATTCAATCATTTTTATTAACTAAAAATACTAAGGAGAAGTCATACCATAAATCCAAAAGACACCGATAGTTTCCGCTATAGCAGCAAATAGCCTCATAAATGTGCCGCCATAGTAATCAACCAATTCCAAAATATACTGGCCACCCTGTAAATATAAAAATAATGAATGGAAACATGAAATGTGTACTTAAATATCCGTTTTCCTGAATTAATTATTTGGTTCACAGCAAGTGCCACTATGGATTTGTCTTCGAAATAGAAAAAAAGTTTGTAAATATACTATTTGTATTATATTCGTAATTGAATTTAGAAAGAAAGAAATAAAAGAAATATAATTATCTTCTTTTTTATACTTACCGGTGTAACATAAACGAGTCCAAGCAGAAAACCAGCGGAACAAGCTATTGCGGACATGTAAATGGTAGGCACTCGTGGGAAAGAGTCCATTAGAATAGTGTTGACCGTGGAAAGTAGCGCCACGCCAGAACCGATACCAAGGACTGCCATCATCAAAAAGAATAGCACCGAGAATAGCTGGAAACAGATAATTTTATGTGTAGGTAACTAACCATAAACTTAGCCGATTATAATAATAATTATCGTCGCTAAAATAATTCTTATTGTACCTGTGGCACAAACGGAGACTGTGCAATGGCGTCAGGGTAAGAAATAAAAGCTAAACTTGATCCTCCAGAACCAATGACTTCCCCAACATCATCTTGGTTCAGTTGATGGGCTAGGTTTCCCAAAATTCCGAATATAGTGATTCCTGACATTAAACTTGTGAACGTATCCAATGTAGTGACTATCATAGAGTCTCTGAAACAAAATGAAAGAACTTGACATTCTCGACTTATTTACGACCTATCTTATCAGCAAACACCAGTGACTGACTTATGGCATTAAGCTCGCCTTTTTGTACGGAACATTCCTATGTGTGTGCAATAAAGTCTTAAAATATTTTTTTATTTAAACTTGGGCTTTTGCCATGCTGTTTTTGTTACATATCTATGTGAAACACGAGAAACTTATCTGAAAATTTGCACTTAAGTATTCAGGAATTAAACAAATTAACAATACTATTTGTAAGTATTTAAATATTATTATGGAACGGGATTAGAGAGATTATTATTGTAAGTTGTTCGATAATAATAATAAATACATTATACTACCCACAATCACACCTAATTATCTGGCCTGTGCTAAGCAGAGCGTGTACTATAGCTTGTCAATAGATAATAATGCATACGATACGGATCACTCTTATTAAAAACAGATTTGTTATACTTCATCACTCAAGTTGTCATACAAACATTTTGACTTTACCTGTAAACGTTTTGTCTGAAGCCATTGTAAGAAGAGAACATTATAAGTGCACCAGAACACACTGACAAAGAAAAGAACACCTGGGTTACAGCAGCATACCAAACCTGTAAAAAATATCAATGTTAGCAATCTTTTTCATATATTTATTTTGTGTGTTAGATAAATAAGCGGTGAATACAACTGAGGTTTACCTTAATTTCTAAAATTTTTGCCCACTCAGGTGTAAGGAAGAACATGATTCCTTTGCCTGCTCCCTCCAATGTGACTGCTCTGTTAACAGAAATACAATTTTCGTGTAATTAATAAGGTTAATAAGCCTTATGATCTGTCGCACATAATTAAACTAACAATTTGACTTAAAAAGACGAAACATAAAGAAAAATAAATTTGAGTCACATCTTACCTGATTAGCAGAATGAACATCACGATGTATGGGAAGATGGCTAGAAAATACGCAGCTTTTCCTGAACTCTTTACACCGCGAGCGACGATCACGAATATTATAATCCAGGACGCTAGCAAACAGAGAGTCAGGTCCCATATCGGCGCCCCTAGTAAAAGTCAGTCAATTAATAAAAATATGAAACCCATTTAAAATATTTTTTATATAATTTTAATAATAATGGTAAGTGCTTACCAATTCCGTCATCAATGCCATCGGACTGTCTAAGTACTGTTTGTCTGTAAAAAAGAAACTTAATTTTACAAGAGTTCCTTCATCCACACTGCTGTACCTACCTACATAGTCACATTTAACCGCATCATTGTTGGATATGTATAGTAAACCCCCCTGACTTTAATGGGTATATCTATTTTGAATGGTATTGGTAGATTATCTCGTACTTACTAAAGTTTGCTTTTGGTAATAGGTAAGGCAGGTAAGGTATTCATACCCAATATTATGATACCCGTACATTAATGCTAATCACAATTATCTAATTACGTACAAATTCTTCAATTGCTTTAATTAATCTTCTTAAGCTGCGATGACTTTACGAAAAATGGTAATTAAAAATCTACTAAAAGATAATATGAAAATCTTTGAGATATGGGTGTCTGGTTTAAACATAGTCTAGTCATTGCCTTTAGTCACGTAGGTACCTAAATAAATACTGGATAAATATTTACCTACGAATAGTGACAATTATTAGTTTTTAGACAAATAGATGATACTTTTTAATACAAGTTGATATTTTTTTTTTCCTTGGGGAAATTACTTACTACATTTTTTAGGGGAATGTTGCTCCCCTAAAATTGTTAAACTGCTAAATAAACATTGGTAGAAGAAAATTAACTATTAAAATATGATTAAGTAACTTACGTGAAGTACAGCTCTGCACTACTAGTGCCATTTATGCCTGGAGGTGCTGTGTACCCTGAAGGCACGCAGTAGACTTTGTCCGACTCCCACTCAGGGTCGCAGAGCGCCCACGGCAGAGTGGACTGGAAGCTCATGGCCAGGTAGTACAGACATAGAGCGATGATGGACACGTAGTACGATAGAACGAAGCTTGCCCCCAAAGCTTGAGCGTAGCCAGTACCTGGAAGGAAAGTTACAGGATTGTTTTCGCTTAACTTTTCGAAAGTTAGACTTTTATTCTAGTTTCAATATATTACGAGTACTTATGCTCAGTTTTTTAGAACTCTTATTTGTATTATATTTAAGGAGGATAAAAAATAGTTTTCTGAAAGAATTGAATAAGCCATATTTAGATCTACTGACTACCTCTCTAATGCTTTACATCTGTGGCTCTACATTACTTATTATTTACTTTATTTTTAAACCGACAGTTAAAATAAATATGCGTCTGTCTACGTAATTATAGAAAGCTGGATATCTTTGGATTAATATTATTTAAACAGCATGCACAGTAATAATCCAAGGCTTTCAACTACATATTATTATAATTTCGACTATTTAAATTGTGAGGAGACTTCACAAGGGGGAAAACACCACGTACTTGATCTTGATCAGAAGGATAGATATTTCATTATCAAATAATAAACAGATAATTATCAATCATTTGATAGAGAGAGGTTGACCTTTGATAAGTTAATGTTAAATAATAATAAAATAAATACTTGGCTATACCTAGTAGGAAATAATATTACAGCTTGAACTTCTTACCTTTCATTGCCGGCGATAGCGCCCATATTTTTACACAATTACTGCTGCTGAACTGCCCAAGGACTGTCTCAAGGTAGTACATAGGCTTGCCTATAACCAGCAAGACAATGATGTATGGGATGAGGAAGGCACCACCGCCGTTTTGGTACGCCACGAAGGGAAACCGCCACACGTTGCCCAAACCGACTGAGGTCGCGATACATGACATTAAAAATTCTATTTGATTGTCCCATTTTGGCCTTTCCTGAGTTTTTCCTTCGTTTGTTGGCTGTGGACAAATACAATATTTATTTGATAAAATAGCAAGAGTCAAATTATATTTTAATGATTTATGTAAATATAATGGTATCGGAGAAAATATGCATTTGTGAAATAATTACTTCGATCGCATAAAATCTCCCTAAGATTAAGAAATCAGTATTACAATTTAATTCCCAAAAAATTAATTCCTTTTTATGGCAGTTAAATTTTCCCTCGCTCAATATTTAATAACAGGATGTTGATTATCATTTAGATAAGCCACCACTACCTATATGCGAAGAAAGTCATGGCATTTTCTAACTTCCTAGCTTGCCATATTGATAAAATTTTAGGAGCATAGGTTTTATAAAATGGTCCTACTTTTCGAGTCTCGTGACTGTTAGATAAAAAAAATATTGCAAATTATATCGACAATTTGACACCAATAAATACTTCGGTCCGGTAGTAATAAATTATATGATCAATCATATAAATAATCGTATATTGTTTTCTATCAAAAGAAAAGCTGTGGTATTTTCTTTGTATGTATAATGTGTTTCATCCAATCAATAAAACACATTAATTTATGGAGTTAATCTTGAACAATAAAACGTCAGATAGCGATAAGTAATCGAGTGATTAACTAGGTAGTAAAACTATAAAAAAAAATTTTTTTCGGTTTTGGTCCGGGCTATACATGTTAGAATGTTTTATCAGTGTTTGCAGGGGGTTTGTCTAGAATAACGAATACCTACGTGATATACAGTTGGGAAACTTATTTTGTCAGCTATATTTGATAAGATTCATCTCTATCGACATCATCAGCTTAGCAGTTATTATTTTTGGGAAATGAAATGTTTACGATTTATTAATTCCATAAGATTCAACAACTCAACCTACATACCTCCTTAATGTCCCTTACTTATAAGCTTAGTTCAAAAGTTAAGTTAAACAAGAAATGAAAATTATTGACGCAGGCAGAGCCTTAGGCAGAGCCATGAAAAGAATAGAAAATGTCATTATAAAGAACTTGCAAACTAATCCATTTCATTTCGTTAAATATTGCGTCTTTCAATAAAATCGCAACAATTAATTTGAAATATGTGTAATAAATGGAAAGAACTTATTTATAACTAAGATGGTTGAATACTCATTAGAGAATGTTAAGTATCTATACATATTTAAAAATTCTAAATAACATGTATTTTATATCCAATGCATATCTAATTCCTGCAGGATAACGGTTAAGTATAGATACTAAAGCTGCGGGAAACATTTAGGCGTTAAAAGTAATCCTATTTATGTAACTCCTACGGTATGATCTATGGCTTCTTTGGTATTGAATTCCTTGTCTTCAAGCAATATCGTTCATTTAGTTAGGAAATAGATAAGATAATAGCAATATTTCGTAATTTAGGGTAAACGCTGGATTTTCACAAAAATGTTACCTTTTAAATTATTTTTACATATTTCTCTGTTTCTGGATTTGTGGAGCTTTTTAACGTCACATTGTTCATTTTAGATATTTTGAAATTAATCAATAAAAAAATATAATGTATTAGTCACTTTATATTTTACCTTAGTGTTTTCTAAATCAGTGTCCTTCAGATCCTGTTTTTTCACGTCCAGTTTGCTCATATTGCTTACACCATTTTCAGGAGATGCGTCAAAAGCTTTATTCTCTTGTGTCCCATTTTCCGCAGTTTGTTTTTCAGAATCCTAAATTAAAATAGAATTATGAATTATTGTAATAGTAATAACAATTTGTATTAAATTCGTAGTAATTATTTATATTCACCATTATTACGGCTGCGGCCTGACTGCGCGCTATAACAGGCGCTATTAAAGTGAACTGCGTACATGATTGTTTACCATCGTTGAAATTAGGCAATTCAAAAGATATATCAGAAGATAAAAAGTACCGCCAACGACAGAAGCAAAACGTAAAAAGTTGGTAACTACTAGCTTATCTAGGTATATATTTAACTAGCTTTCCGCCTGCGGCTTCGCCCGCGTGGAATTTTGTCTGTCACAGAAAACTTTATCGCGCGCGTCCCTGTTTTACAAAACTAGGATGAAAACTATCCTATGTCCTTTCCCGGGACTCAAACTATATCTGTGCCAAACATCAAAATCGGTTCAGTGGTTTAGGCGTGAAACCGAGACAGAGTTACTTTCGCATTTATAAAATTAGTATAGATTGCGTGAGACCTATTGGGTGTACGTACGTCGTACATTATACAGTTTTACCTGTGAATTAATTTGACTGATACCCATATTCACAAACGATGCTTGCTTAAGTGAAGCAGCAAATCGAACGCACAGCGTTAAATAGAGCTCTGTGATTGGTTTGCGTGTCACCCTGTGCGGCCACGCGCACTGTGAGATCTCATAGTAATGTTTGTGAATACGGGCGTAAGAAGCTTTTATAAGCTGATACTAAATGTATTAAATGTCTATATCACTGTCACTATACACAAACAGTATGGCCCAAAATATAGGTAGAAGTAATAGACTAAGGTAGAAGTAATAGTGTAATAGATAAATAATATTCACCTCTACAACCGATGTGAACAACGCCTCAACGTGACCACGACCGCTCTGCCAAAAGCGTAACGAATAAGAAGAATAGACTAAGAGCTAGTGAACGCCAGACCTAGGTACGTCATTTTATAAAAGCTGTAAGTTTGTCAGCGTATGCTCCCAATAAGGATAATTATAATGTTGGTAAATTATGAAGTTTGGGTCAGCGTGGCTTTGGGAGCTACCCTAAAAAACCTGTCTGGCAAGGAGTTGGAACTGTCAAAACTGTCTGGCTGTTGAACTGTCTTCTAATTATTGCCCAAATATTACCTATACATAAAAAAATCAGATTTTATGGTATAACATAACGTAAGTCTAACTTTTACGGTGGCTTTTTCTGTATATCCAATAGACTGTAATTCGACTAACGTACCTACGTACTTCAAAAACTAAACCGCTTCCAAAAAAAGTTCACTAAAAAGTATAAAAATAATTACGTTATTTATTTATTAGGACAAATACAATAATGAGCATGATTGATATTCGGAGTCGGTGCCAGTCTGCCAAACGCCAAGCTCAAATATACCGACTTTTTTTAGTCGGTTTTTTATGTATTTACGTTAAAGAGGTTTTGAGTTAGAGAAGGGTCAAAAGTGGCACCAAATGGTTCGTGTAATATTACACTCGGCGCTGGCTAGCCAGTTCCTTTGCTTGAACTTGGCTTGACAGGCTCCCATGTGTCTAGATAAAGACATGTACGTTAAAATGATTAAAATGTGAATTACAATACAGGATGTCCCAAAATTAGTACCTCCCACTAACTTGCTACCTCCAGGGTCAGTGTAATGTGTTAATTTTGGGACACGCGTATAAAACTTTAATAAAATGAAAAAGTAAATGTTGTTACTTCTAAAATTTATCTATGCACCTATTATACAAACTAAAAACGTTTTAAAGGTATATGGCCAATAGAAGCGGCATCTGAAATGTTTTGTTTTATCTAGAAAAGGACCCGGGATGTTATTATTAATATCGGCGATACATCGTTATATTGAATTTTGTATTATTATCAGAAATAATCTATAGATTAAAATAGTACAACAGTAGATAGGTAGGAATGTACTAATCTTTACTCCATTTCAATTATGATCTTTTAAATAGGCAATGTACCTACATTTTTTTTAAATCTGCTTGTAAGAAACAACATAAAGTGACTTCGTATTTTTTTGTTTAACCCTGACGGAACAATAGAAGTGCCTATTAAGTTTAATCAATACCAGTTCTACTATAGTTCAGTCAATAAATGCTCAAAAAAGGTGTCAAGGAATACAAATGCTTGGAATACAATTTTTGACTTCGTACTTTTGTTTGGACTAGTTAGGTGCACGCACATATCAAAAGTCCCCTTAGCCGTTGAGCCGGCGGAGAGGGGGTTTTGAAGGTCCCATTTTTCGGTTTTTAGCTTATGTCTTGGAAACTATGAGACCTAGAGACATGACCAAATTAGATTTGACTCAGTCAAGTTTTTCTATATCTTGTTAGTCTGTAATATTGAAAAAAGGTCAGTTAAAGCTTCCCATACCAACTTGTGGCCCTGTACTTTACAGTTGGAAGTACGTAATCTTATTTTCTGTTATTACGAAATAATTTACGAAAAAGTCCAGATGTAGGTAAATTAAATTAAGAGGCGCACTTCTACCTAAAGTTTATAGACGAACACAAAACTCTGAATTAGTTCAAACGTATCAGTAGATAGATTATAAGAATAATAAGATTCCTTTTTTATTACATTATGAATTAAATTAATTACATTTATCTTATCAACATTGCTCTATGTTGCATGCATGATTGATAAAATGCTTAGTTGGTTCTTAAAAGTAATCACAATCTTTCGTGTAATTTTACGTAGGTATGTGAAAGTGTGTGAGGATGGATTGATGTAAAACAGTAACTAGGTAAAGCTTTAACCGACCTATATGGAATTTGGTATATAGTAGTTTGGGACCCAGAGAAAAAGAACTTCATTTCGCTATTTGGAAGGGTGTGCCCAAGCGCGAATAAGACCTTCATTGCCAGAACGAGACTCACGTGGTTGAGGTCACGGGCAAAAGCTAGTGTCATATATCATTGATGAATTTCATGATATGGATACAACTTTTTAAATGTTGAAAAGAATTACATATTAGCCACTGTTATCAATAAACGCTCGCTCACGATTATGATACCGACCTATTTGCTGACAGTTTTGGGCAGTTGTGTTGCAAAGCCTTTTCGTTTATTAATGACATTTGTACTTGTTTAACATTGTGTGACTTGTTTTAATGTTTATTTCTGACTTTGCAATGATTTGTGTTGACTTGACTGTTTTACATTATGTTCTTCCTTGGACGCCTGTTTCTGGAGCTATGACTTGTATTTAATGACCATATTAATGATAATGTATTTTATTTTTGTAGGTATTTGATTTGACATGGTAATCCTAATTTATGACATGCAACTAAATGTAAATTTAATTTAATTTTATTATAATATGTATGTGTTTTGGACCTGTCTGTAAACATACATTTTCTGATAATAAATAAATAAATAAAAAAAGCACGTAAAACAGAACTTGTTGAAACCGCGTCCGTGGCCTTCGTAGATTAAATTTAGATAGTTATCCGACTGTGATCTGATATAACATTCTCCGATAATTGTGATTCTGATCATACCTTTCACGAAATCACGTTACTTAAGCTTAAGGTAGGTACACACATATACATAATATGCTACTCTAGCTCAAAGGATTTTTATCATAACTTTTTTTTTTACTCCTATTAGAGTGATTTGAGTGAGAGACCAAAATCTTTGGATTTATTATCTTTGTATTTTCAGATTTGGGTCGCCTGAGTGTAAGCAAGAATAATAAACACGCTAAATATCAAAAGGGTGGCTTCTTCTTTTTTACTGATAAAATATCTTCTCGACTGCAAAGTAGTCAGTTAAACTAGATAAGTGAGGACTATTTGCTAGTTGATTTATGTTATTAAATTATTTTTTCTTATGAGCATCATCACATTCATCTCTTATCGTGGCTAATTGGTGTAAATTACACACTGAATACCAGCTATTCAGCTATGACATATAGCAGTATTAAGGAGCTTAAACGTAAGCAATTAATATAAGATTAAAGTGATATGGATAAAGCAATGGTGGAATATCGTGGCAATTAATACAATGTTAATAATTCTACATAAATAGATTAGATTCCACTTGTCATGCTTAACAGGAAAGAAGCATGAAGACTAGGTATATTTGTTTTAATATTACTCGTAGTAGGTATAAGGTCACCTCCAAAAGACAGACGATATTTAAGGGATCAATAAAACATCTTAAATTAATTCGTTTTAGATAATACAACCATATTTTTAGAATGCTAGTTTTCGAGATTTTTTGATGTTATGTTGAGTGAACCCGAAGTGCTCAGTGCGGTCCGGAGGCATGGCATCGATCGTGCCAGACAGTGAATCCGTGNCTAGATGGCGAGGCAGTACACATGACAGTCGAATTTTTATGGAGAGCAATATAAAACAACGATTTGAGGATAGGCAGTTTAGAGGACGCCTTATTGGCGATTCGGGCTACCCTCTTCTGCCATATCTATTTACACCTATTTTAAGGCCTAGTCGTCCAGAAGAAGAAGCATACAATAATGCTCACATCTCAACTAGGAACACTGTTGAAAGGTGTTTTGGGGTGTGGAAGCAGCGGTTCCAATGCCTACTCCATGGCTTACCAGTAAGCCTCCAAAATGGAAAAGCTGTGATCATAGCATTGGCTGTATTNTGCTCAGTGCGGTCCGGAGGCATGGCATCGATCGTGCCAGACAGTGAATCCGTGTACAAGGACGTCACGTCCAGCAGCTTATGTAAATAATGTGAAAATGACAGAGAGGGTTTAAAAATAAAAATATTACATTTAGTTTGTTAGGAAAAGTAAAAACAGAAACTTGCCTATTTTTTTTGGTTTTAATGCTAGGGTCCAATTTTTCTAATATTATTAGATGCCCTATTAAAATTTCGTCTGTCTTTTGGAGGTGACCTTATATGTATAAAAAGCTAGTTTCTCAATACCCATTGTACATAGTACGAGAGGGGGACCGTAAGATACCCTACGTCTACATCACTTGATACTAAGATAACCTCCATGGCACACGTTCAGAAAAGTTGTGATAAGCTTGGAACTATTACAGATTTGGCCGAAAGTGTGGAAAAAAGCAGATTTTAAATTTACGTCATTTGATACCGATGGCAGACTTATGGCAGCAGTTACTAATACATAATATTATTTGTATGTATTGGTAGTGACGGATGAATCCAGTCTCTCAGTCTTCCGAGGTTTTATTATCATATTTTACTTGAAATAATGGAATGTAAAACATCATCGCGCGTCGTTTAGTTTAAAAATGTTGACTACGAGTCGTAGCGTCGTAGCCTACGATGCCGTAGTCTCGTAGCAAAACGCAGACTCTGCATTCGTAGTGTAGGCAAGTGACCATTATCAAACTTAATTTGAATTAATAATTTAATTAATCCTGAGTGCCGTTTACTTAGTATGTGTCTCGGCTCTGTGTTTTATTATTATAGATAGGCTATTTATGAACTTTAGCCGCGCTTTTTCACCCAAGTGCTATAATTAATTAATTAAATTTGATGATTCTATTCGTCGGGAATATTAAAAACAAATTCAGTTACATAAGATCTTTATCCATGTGTTATCAAACAAAGGTTTTTGTTTCCCTATTCAAATTGATTAAGATTATTTATGTTTGAATTACCTATTCAAGGTTTACCAAGATGAATGTTTCGTGACTCTTCTAGAACTAAACTAAAGCTACCATATAATTATTATTATGGGTCGATTCCACTTTGATCACATATTGGATGTTTACCCAATTTGTTAACCTCTTGATTTTATATTTACATATGAAATAGATTTTTCCATTGAACGTACTAAATAAAGTTTCTTCGGTGCATGGAAAAGAAACACAGAATGTTGAAAATATTTTTTAATAATTCACTTAACAAAAAGTTATTATACCTACTATTTCTTAATTCTATTGATATTTACATATTTACATTAAACAATCTAATAACGACTAGATTATTTTCCCGACCTATATCCACCGGTCAAGATATTGCCTATGTGTCTCCAGAAGGAAGTACCCATGCGGTCTGACTTGGCTTCTGCTATGAACTGCTGCCATTCCTCCTTTATCAGGGCAGAACGAGGGCCCCATTTGGGACTATAATGGAATGACTTCTTGATAACCTGCAATGTTAAAAATAAATACAAAATTAGATAAGTTCTATATTTAAAAACGTTACTTTATATAAAAGAGAGAAACTTGTTTTTTATTTTTTTATAATATCACTGACCTGCTTGAAGCTGTTATTTCTATTTTTCCATATGACCATGCCCATAACTAAAGGAACGAAAATGATCCCCATTCCCAGCATGACATATCCGGCAGCTGTAAAAAAACGTTTCATATGATAGATAATAATAATATATTCCTGTGGTCTACGTTGTTTTTTGACTAATTAATTATTTATTTATCCATTGATTATGACGTCGACTATGTAACAACAAGATCGAAATTTGGCTTGGACTTGTAGGATTTACCTAATAATTTTGTCCACGGCAAGTAACTTGGTTCGTTGACTTCATAAAGTTACTGTATTCTTATTTAGTTCTCGTATTCTTTCACTTTTAGGTTAATTTCCAAAAAAACGAATAACACTTATCTGAAGTTATAGTATAAGTTGGACAAATTGTCAGTTTTTGTATACTACGTCAATTTATAAAGGGTATCGTACTGTTATGATATTTGAATGAAAGTACCATATCCAGCTGTAGGGTAGTAGTAGTCCTCGCCGAAGACCAGGGCTTCGAAGGAAGCGAGCGCGTAACCGAACACGGTGACCATGAGCGCCGGCGTGACGATGCCCCAGCAGATGCGCCAGTAGAACGACGTCTTTATGCCCAGCATGAACTCGATGTCCAGGCAGATGTTTTCTAGACCTGGAATTAAGTACATAAAATATTATATTGGGCAGGCACTTGAAAGAACCTGATAGATGCCTGTATCCACCAGTCGGAGGTATACATTTAAAGTTAAGTACGTATTCTAAATTAGTTTTTCTTTTGAAATTGGCTATAATTTCTTTTTAGAGCTGGTTAAAGCTTAGCTCAGAATATTTGTGCGAGTCGTTTTGTACTGCTAGTTCATTGCTAAAGATGATGACTCCTTAGATTTGTAGAGTGTCCTTGCTAATTGATTTCAGCTTAACATAAATATTAGTGCAAGGAATGTAATGGTAAGTTTTGTTTAGATTATTTTAGCTATATAATCTTCATTCTATAAGCAATTATTATTTTAGTTATAAAATTATAGAAAACGTACCATAAATCCAGCAAATTCCTATTAATTCTGTAATGGCACAAAACAGGACCAAGAAAGTACCGCCATAGTAGTCAACCAGCTCCAATACGTATTGGCCACCCTGGAATAAGACAAAGAACAAAGATTTAAAATCTAAAGTACAGCTTATTATTATTATTTATTTAAATTAACTAACTTAAGGTTTTACGATGATTCATACCTATTTACAAGAAATGGAAAAGATGAGACAGATTCCTCTCAATGAATGTGAATTACCTCCTTGGCTTAGTAAAATCACGCTTGGTGAGTAATATAGCATTCTTGTTGACGATGTTCTTTCACTTCTTTTGGTGACTAATTACTTTGTGATACAGCATGAAGCTTAGCTTCAGTCTAGACATTTGAACAATACAACTATGCAGTGGTTCTTCGTCCTTGGCATGATGAACAACTAAATGAAGGTTAAGATAAACAGTATTTACGTTATGCTACTTTATTTATAATAATATTCCCATATAAAAATCCCATTTTCCCACAAAACTAAGAAACGTACGTATTGAAACGATTGGAATCATCATCATTTCAGCCACAGGACGTCTACTGCTGAACATAGGCCACCCCAAATGGTTTTCAGATTTCCTTTGTGAGGACATCTGTCCACCTTGTGGGTGTAGGTACACGAATGGAATACAATAAAATTGTTGAAAATTGCCCGCGGCTTCACCCGCGTGAAATTTAGTTTGTCACATATCGTCATAAATTATAGTCTATATGTTATTCTGGGTTATAAACAATAATACTGTAAAGTTTCATCAAAATCCGTTCAGTAGTTTTTGCGTGAAAGAGTAACAAACATCCACACAAACTTTCGAATTTATAATATTAGTAGGATAGTACAACATAATATGGGTTTTTACCGGTGTAACGTATATGAGCCCCAAGCCAAAGCCGACGGTGCAGCACATGGCTGACATGTAGACGGTGGGCACGCGCGGGAAGGCATCCATTACGACTGTATTGATAGTCGACAGCAGCGCCACCCCGGAGCCCACGCCCAGAACCGTCATCATCAGGAAGAACAGCACCGAGAATAACTGAAAACAGGTTTAATACTGTGTCAAACCTTTGAAAGACAGATAACAATTTAAATTGGATTACCTATGAATATGATGTTCTAAAAATCATCATCATCATCATCACTATCAAGTCCGACGTTCTCGACTGTAGTAAGACGAATCCCTCTAATTTGCCAGAGGAAAATAGATCAGTTGGTTTACAATGCACTCTTTATACTGGTCAGACGCATATTTCACCATTTCTTATAAAAGTTACTGATATATCTTCTGTCTACTAATAACCACTTGATTTAAATTGAAACCATAATTTAGCAATAAGTATTTTAATTAATTATTTTGTGTATCATACCTGTGGCAAAAATGTCTTGGCAATTGCGTCAGGGTAGGAAATGAAGGCAAGACCCGTTCCTCCTGAGCCCACCACTTCGTCTACCTCAGTGTTCAGTTCATATGCTAAATTGCCAAGGATCCCGAAAATTGTGACACCGGAGAGGAGACTTGTGAAGGTGTCTAAAGTTGTCACGATCATTGCATCTCTGTAACGTGATTTAAATGATAGTTACTGAAACATGAATATGACTATTAATAGGGTTTACAGGGAAACTCGAAACAGGAATATTGACGATATCGTTCCACGGTGATTATTGTAGGTAGTGGAACGATATCATTAATCCATCAATTAGTTTTAAGTTTTTTAATACCTAATGATTGTGCTCACCTGTAAATATTTTGCCTAAAGCCGTTATACGATGAAAACATAATGATTGCTCCGGTACACACTGATAGAGAATAAAACACCTGTGTCACAGCGGCATANAAAGAAAATATTAAACTCTGTTTTAGCTATCAAAGGTTTATAAACGATTATGAATAACGTTTTTTATCAGAGGTTTATAAGAGTGTTTTAAGCCTATCAAACGTTTTAGCTAATGTAGGTTTTAAACCTATATTAGCATTTTATTATGAATAAGACCGTTATTCAATAGTTATCGATGCGGCAGAAAAAGGTATTTATTTTTAACCAAATTCAAAAAGAAACATACAGGTTATCAATTCAACAGAGTTATTTTTGAGCCTACGGAATTTTTTTTCCCCAACTTAAAAAAAGAAATGGTTATAAATTCGATAGCTTTTTTTGCGACTGCGGAACCCTACTTGTGCTGACCTCACGTCTTGTCCCATTGTGTCCTTGCCCCTTACACAGTGGGGCCAAAGGGGAATTATCTTTTTAATCTTCATCTCACGCGTTTTGTCCCCTTCATCTTACATCTTTATTTCGAACAGAATGTTTTCTATTTCTGGTTCCTTTAAGTTAATTAATATTATTGCGTCAGTTACTTTTGATTGGTAATGAATATTTGATTAGCAGTCGCTAGCCTTAACGAACCGATGAAAATACAAAGTATTTGAGCAAGGCAATTTACAGCTGGAATTCTAAGAATAGATTTTATAATAAAGTAAAGTACTAAGTAAGACTTTATCAATATTGTAGAAATTATTATTTTCGTACCAGCTGTATCACAAAATATTTTTTAAAGAAAGAACGTTATTTGGTTAGCAATCTCTCTACCAATTTCAAAGGCAATAATTTTTATCACCAAATTCTACCCCTTTTTCTCCGTAAAGAAAAAGGTAAGGAAGGACAAAAGCCATGAAGCTGATGAAGCTCAATTCCATGTTAAAGTCCCACGCTGAAACGTCAAGTGGCAAAAATCAAAAACTAACAACCCTAGTTTTCATATTTTTTAGGGATAGTACATTAGTAGAGCTACCTCCCCTAGCAGTTTGATTCACCCATTCTGGGACACCCTGTATAAAACACTGATAAAGGAAACAAGGGAAATCCTTCATTACCTAACAAGTCCGCGATTTTCCCCGAAAACTTTATTACACGTCTAAAATTCACGTTGTACTTCCACAAGCCATCTTGTGTCGGCGTGTTGTTGACACCAACTCATTTACCGGTTTACCCGCACCCGATTAGAAGTGATTATCGCCCAAAACTTGGATTAATTAACCGATTTAATGCAAAGCCGTATCGGCGGGGAAGAAATTATTATTTGTAGGGAGAGCATATTTAATGATAGAGAAGGATTTTTTCCTTCTTAGCACATTACAACAAACAAAGTATACTACATCTTAAGCCTTTAAAAGGCAGCGGGAATATAGTTTCCACCGTATTTTGAACCTTATTCGCTTATCTTAGGGTCCAAAAACAATGAAAATTATGTACAAATTTATTTTTGCATTAAAGTTTAAAAAAAAATGATTATGTTATGACTGTTAAAGGGTTAACTAAAGTACAATAATATGCCTTTCATAAATTCACATAGCGCCATCTATTGTCGCGCTTATCAGAACTTCCTACGTGAAAAGCGAAGTCAATTGTTACAGCGCCATCTATTGTGCCACTACGCTAAACATTTCTACAAATGGTAATGGATTGATAGTATTACCAGTATTACCGTGACTTGACATAGAATTTATAAGACCTAGACACCGAGTAAGCGCAAGAAGAGTCAAGCATTTCATTGGATGATATAAAGATTTTTCAGACAAAGCGCTTGTATAAAGACTATCCATCTAGGTGTTATTAATCTAAGTATCTTGATTCTTGATATCAAATACTTTTTATGCAAGACAAGGTAGGTATTTGACCGCAATCGCACCTGATGTTAAGTGTAATCTAGGAATGGTAGTCTAGGATCTTTAGCTCTCAATTACATTATCTTTCTCCACAAATCAATTTATCATTTTACAGTCCTCAATTCAAAATCCTGGCCCCTCTTACCAAGTAGAAAACTTAAAACAGTTCTCCAAAGTAGCCCGGCGAGTTGGAAACAAAAAGAGGTGCTCCAAAACGATGGTGGGAAGTGGGAACTGGGAGACACTTAACTGTTGGTTAAGTTGACAACTTGATCGGGAACTACTTCGGAATTGGCGGGTATGATTCTGAGGGTAATTAAAATATTAGTTTTCACGAGCTTTTGCTTCAAAGAGGCGCTTTTGAAGTTATTTCAGCAATTAATAATGGCAGGAGTTGGGTCCTAGTGTTTTATTTTATTGTTAGGAAAACAAACAGCATTCTATAACACACATGGAGTTACCAATTAAACTTCACATTTGCCAAAAGAGTTTTCACAACACTCCTTTTCATTGTAAGTATAATACCTATAATAGAAATAAATTGTCAGTATAAATAGCAGTAGGATATCTCTAATAAAATTCTAAGGCTGACTTGAATCACCTAACTTTACCGTAACTATAACGATAACCGATGATTTTTGTATGGAGTTTGACTGATTTTTGACGTTTGGTAGAGTTAAAGTAAGATGGTGTAGGAAAATTAGGATATCTCTACATTAAAAACAAAAAAAAAATTATAAAAACAAAAATGTATAAAAAAAAAAACATTGTATATAACTATCATCATCATCATCATTTTTGTAAATATTATTGACACACGTAGGTACTTTTACAGTTTGCTCGTACAAAATAGCGAGAAACTATTCCACTCTCTCCCAAAAAAAAAAATTCTATTTAAGAAAGTCAACATCTACATTTATCTCTAATTATCTGGTATTAAACTACCAGACTAAAAAAAAAAAAAAAAAAAAACAAAATTCTGAGGCTGACTAACCACCTAACTTTACCGTAACTATAACGATAACCGATGATTTTTGTATGGAGTTTGACTGATTTTTGACGTTTGGTAGAGTTAAAGTAAGATGGTATAGGAAAATTCTCGTGTCACACTGTTTGACTGTTAGTAACACTACACTCCTTCGAAACGGCTTGACTGATTCTTATGAAATTTTGTATATTCTTTAGTAAAGTCTGAGAATAGCACGCAAACTATTTTCCATACCCCTAGGTGCAAAACAAGATTTGCTGGGTCATAGCTAGTGATTTCATATGATCCAAGTAAGGTTTCAATAAGTTTTATAAAAATTCAAAAAGAAAGATCCTAGACATTAAACAAACAGAAACGCTATATATTTTCCTCTGTATACAAACTGCTAGAACTAAAATGGATAGTTTTTACGACGCCAAGACACGCGAGTGGGTCATTAAGAAGACTAGAGAACAACGTTACAAATTGTACAAGTCTGTAGGAATTCATTAGTACCACCAAAACGAAGTTTTAACAATAAATATCAATTTATAGCTATTTATGATTAGGTAAGATTAAGGCTGGTTTTAGAATCACGCTGACGCACGCTGACCGTCAGCGCTGATAGCCGAAATGTATGGAGCGTCGGCGCCGAGCGATCAGCGTCACTCAGAAACGTTCCCTTCAATCATACATTTTGATTTGTCAGCGCCGACGATCAGCGAGCGGTCAGCGCGATTCTAAAACCAGCCTATATGGACTCAAAGTTGCGTATTTTTTGTTGCTGTGCCATAGTCTAAGTTGGAAACCACCATAGATTGTTGATCATATAAAATGCACAACATAGTAGGGAATTTAGTGCAATGATTTGTATGGAAACCCCTCCACTTTGGTATAGAAGGCTCATTTTTGCAACAGTGTTTCTTTGGGTGCTCCTGAGTGAATTTCCGTCGGTAGACATCGGGAGCCCCCCCTGTGGTAGCAGGGGGAGGGGGGGCAAGTTTCCTNATAAACGATTATGAATAACGTTTTTTATCAGAGGTTTATAAGAGTGTTTTAAGCCTATCAAACGTTTTAGCTAATGTAGGTTTTAAACCTATATTAGCATTTTATTATGAATAAGACCGTTAATGTATTAACATAATCAGATGAAAGAGACTGGATCCCACAACACAGGGAATCCTAGTGTGGGAACCAGTGCCTTACTTTGTGTACATGTAAACTTTTGAAACAAATAAATTTTTATTTTATTTTTTTTTTTTTTTTTATTTTTTTTATTGTAATCTAAGTAAGTACAATACCCAGCGATTATTTTATTGTTACTTTTAGCTCGACAAAGTAGCTAAGTCGATATAAACGCAAAAATTTTGACTGTGTTACGAGCGTTTGCCATTTCAGAGAAATGCAATTAAGTCACAGAATCAATCTCGGTAGAAATCTTTTTGAAACTCTAGGGATTAGAGACGTGATTGTAGAGTTCTTCTGTTCTCATAAAAAGATTATTTTCTTGGTATAAGCAAATCCATTTTGATAATAGGCCATCCTATTACACATTTTTGTCTGACGTTGAAAGAAGAAACTTGAAAAGAAATGTAATTTTGCAAATTGTATATCACGGCGCGATCCCCTCTGGGCTCCATTCATTTTGTGAGCACTTACATACATTTGTTATTTATTACTTTTGTCTAACGCGATATAAAGTCTACAAAGAATTTGAACTTTGTAAATAAAGCCTTTTACTTAACTATTTAAAGAAAGTTTTAATTAAAGCTAGTAAATTCCAAGAGCATGAAGGAGCGGACGTCGAGTGATTCGATTTATTTCTCGAGTACTTACAATTTGCGAGTAACTACACTTATTAAAACAACTCAGTTACTTTTGAACAAATATTAACTAGCGCGCAAAATTCCGTCTCTTTGCAATTTCAGATCGCAAACAGATGGGAGACTGTCGTCTTCAACCGGCACTTGTAGAAAATATTGAATTTAAAGCAAGTAGAGCATTTCTTTGGAATTTCATGAGCATAACAAGCGAGTTGAATAATAATATTTTTCAATTCCAAAACATTTCTTAGAAATCATTAGTATTGCTATGGTAAGTGTAGGATGGTACTTATTTCAGTTAGGCGGTTAAAGATACTTACGAAGAATTGACTACCCACGACGTAGTCTACGCTCAGCTCTCTAAAAAGTTTGTAGATA